GGAAAAAATTAACGCATGTAAAGGTTTCAAGGCAATCAAACATCAAATCATGATCAACTAATCCACAATGCCTATCATCAAATACCAAGAATCAAAATAATTTTTCTCACGTAAGGGGCACAGGGAAGCATAATTTACAATTCATTGGAACAAAACTAACCTAAGAAAGTAATAAAATCTATACTAAGAAAAATAAAAATAAAAAGAGAAGAGAGAGAGTGAAAGATGTACCATACGAACACGAGAACCTCCCCCAAAGCTAAATCAGACAATGTCCTCATTGTCTTAAAGGGAAGCTAGTAGTCAAGGTGACTACTCTTTATCATCACCACATCAATGTCACCAAAGCCTCGAGGATTGCAATACATCTCTTTGGAACAAAATTGGGCAAGAAAGAAACAAAGTGTTAGTGGGAAAAAGTTCAAATTTGAGTCAGGTGCACTATTCTGATCATAACTTTTTATATATAAATGATAATACAGTGATTCTAATTTCATTGGAAACTAGACTTGAAGAGTTTTCCAACGACAGGTTAACGCAAAAATCGGATAAGAAACGCAAAAGTTATGGCCTGTCGAAGTTGACGAAGTTTGCTGACGCGTACGCGCGCCCAATCGGGCGAGCTCTGCCCAATCGGGCCCGTGCTACTGATTTGACGGGGCAGCTTGCTGCTGCTAATTGCCCCGGGATTCCTTTAGCCCCTCGATCTTTTCTCGACTTTTCTAGTATCTCTGCACAAAATCACACTCCCACAAATATAAGATATACTCTCCTCTACCTCTCTAAACAAAACAAAAAGAAAACACACAAACAAACAAAAAAAAAACTAAATAAAAAGCAACAAAATACGGGTTGCCTCCCGCAAAGCGCTAGTTTATCAAGGTCCCGCTCGACCATACTCCTTCTCTCAATCGGAAGAATTCAATGCCTTGAGTAACTTATCAAACGCTCCTGCAAACATTTCATTAAGCACTATATAGGGCTTAATAGCAACCACATTTATCCCTACAAAGAAAAAAGTTAGGAGCACATAAAGAGAACTCAAGGTAGAAAGAAAAATCAAAAGAGGGAGATGAAAATACACCACAACCTTCTACTTCCTCCGCTAAAATTTTAGAACTAATAGAACGAACATGGAGGTAGTCATTGTCTTTATCATCCAATAATGACTTGAAAATTCAACCCTTAAGAATAACCTCATTATCAACAAAGGAATTTTCAACCACCGTTTCTACAACTAATGATTTTTCAATCACCGATTTGTCAACCAATGATTTTTCAACCACAAATTCTATAACGGGTTCTTCATCCTCAATAACATTCGTATTATTAAAGTGTTCGTAAACTTTTTCATCAAGAGCCTTCCAATAACTTTCATTAGCAACTAATCGATTCCGAATATTATCATATGTATATGGAAAGACTCTAAAATCATCCGGAGCACGCACAAAAAACTCACTATAAGGGCATTTAGGATTTTCATGACAAAGACGTTGACAACTACAGTAGTTAGGTGCTGCATAAAAATTATATAATTCTTGTAGTGACGTAAGCATGGATATTTTCAACTCATAAAAAAAATAAATAAATAAAATAAAAAAAATAAAACAAAATAATCTAGACTCTAATAATAATTAGAAATAAAAATAAAACCGTTTCCCCGACAACGGCGCCAAATTTTGACAGGGTAAAGTCGTATCCCCAAATCAAAAGTAATTCCTAAGTCCTCTAACTAAAGCATATAGGGAAGTAGGGTCGATCTCCACAGGGAAACAAGTCTTTCTATTCCTAATTAACTATTATAATCTAGATTATGAAGTAACCAATATTTATATTTAAATATGAAACTAAACTACTAAGATTGAGAATAGGGAGAAAACAATATATAAAAGGATCTAGGGTATAGGGTCACCAATAAATAATACTCCAGGGTAAAACATAGTAATTAATCATTGACATTGCATAAATAACACGATTAACAGGCTCTCGCAATTTATTAATCACCATAGATCTAACAGGCTCTCGCAATTTACTAGATCTAAGCTCTTATTGAAAATAGCATTTAATATCAAATTAATATTTGCTCGATTCATTAATTCAATATTGCTATACTTTTACAAGCCGCAATTGTAAAGCGTTAAAACAATTCAATAAGAAATTATCATGCAATACCAATAATCAATAATAGTCAATCATCAATGCATCAATTAACCAGATTGTAAAGGGCTTTCGCTACGTATTACAATCACAGAATTAATCTGCCGGTATTACATCTCATCTCTCGAATCTCAACTTAACCATTTATAAATCAACCTGCCTATTGAAACTAGACCTAAACATCAATTCTCATATGTCGAATCTCGAATCAATATTGTTAAACTCATGCATAAAAGATCAGGCCTAATCTAGTCACAGAGCATTAAATCAATCCATAGGAAATTAATCTAGCATTGATAAATAACAACAATAAATTACCCCTTCATATTATTTATGGATCCCCATAACCCTAGAAATAAAATTACTCACACATATTAAAAAATAAACTAATCAAAACAATAAAGTAAATCATGATGAAAGGAATAAAATAAACAACTCAGATTAAGGGAAGAGAAATCGTTACCAAAATAATCTGGAATTAAGAGTAAATTAAGAGCAAAGGTTTAGGAGAAAGAAATCTAAGAGAATAATTAATAGAGTAAGGAAAGAGTAAAAGAAAAAGAGAAGGAAAGAGATAGATCCTAAAATCGTATTACGGAGGAGTATTTATACTCCGTACAAATCCTAAACTAAAACAAACTAAAACGACGCTAATCGTCAACTAATAAATACACGCGCCCGATCGGGCGGGGCACCGCCCGATCGGGGGCGCCTTTTTGCTCATAATACTAATCTCGCGTCCGGCCGGGCGCGTCACCGGGCGCCAACCATAGCTTCTCCCGCCCGGCCGGGCGCGCCTCCAGGCGCCAGCCTTTTTGGCCGGGCGGCTCTCTTGGGACACTATTTGGACTACGATTGGGCTCCAATTCTTCGGGCCAATCTGGGTTTCCTCATCGGGTCTTGAATACTCGGTCCAAATGCCCCGGTATCACACATACCAAGCCCTTAATCACCGGTTCGATGGCTCTAACCGGCCCTGGGCTATAAAATCTAGTCGTGCTTCTCCAATGTTCGTGATTGCTCCAAAATATCTCGGGAAAATACTTCAAAAGTGTAAATCCCTGTAAAAGTCAACCAAATCTACGAAAACACTAGAAAGCACCAATTAGTAATAAAAGTGGCTTTAAAGAGCCAAAAACACTACTAATTATGACCAAGGGACGGGGGTAAACTACTATATAAAATAGACACATCAGCGGTTTTGTAAAATAAGCAATCATCCGGCCATTGGCCTTTGGTCTTGTTCGAGAACGGTTTTATAGCTGCTAAGCGTTTTTGTGCCTAGTTTATGAATCTGGCCATTGGCTGCATGTTATTTGGACGTTGAGTTCGCTACTAAGTTTCGAACTTAATTGGCTTAGCAAATAATCCGTCTGAGCATTGCCCAGACGGAATACTATTTATAAAGATAACAACACAATTGAAAACAAAGCCTGATTTCTCATTAATAGACTTTTTGTTTACAAAAAAATTACAATTCTTAGAAGTAGTACTTTTTTAAGTTATCTACATTCCAAGTTCTAGGCAGGCGTCTATCGTCTGGGGTTTCCATGCGATAGGTGCCATCCCTAACTTCTTCACAGATCCGGTAGGGGCCTTCCCAATTGGGGGTTAGCTTTCCAAACTCATTGGCCCTACCGGTTGCCTCCATTTTTCGTAACACAAAGTCACCTACTTTAAAAGGGCGCTTGTGTACTTTCTTATTGTAGGTCTCGTCATTCTTAGACGGTATATCTCATAACACAGGGCAGCATTGCCCCTGCGTTCCGGGAGGGAGTCTAATGCAAGTCGCACGACCTCCTAATTTTCCTCTTCATCATAAAGCATGACTCTGAGAGTCGGCTTGTAATGTTCAATGGTCAAGACGGCTTCAGCACCGTATATCATGAGAAATGGGGTTTCACTATTGCCCCTTTGGCGGTTGTCCGGATGGCCCATAGGACATGAATCAATTCTTCTGCCCATAAGCCACCGGCCCTTTCAATTTTCTTTTTGATGCCGTCTGAGATGAGTTTATTAAAGGCTTCAACTTGGCCGTTTTCTTGGGGTCGGCCGACTGATGCAAAACAATGTGAGATCCCTTGATCTCCCAACCAAGTCTTAAGGTGAGGCGTTTCAAAATGAGGGCCATTATCAAACACCATAGACGTAGGTACCCCAAACCGGGTGGTGACGTTCTTCCAAATGAAAGAGATGACATCCTTAGTCTTGATGTTCTTAACCGCCTCTGCCTCCACCCACTTGGTGAAGTAATCCACAGCCACCTGAATATAACGTTTTCCACCTAGTGCAGGCGTATAAGGACCCAAGATGTCCATGCCCTATTTAGCAAACGGGACTTGGCTGTGGATTGCCGTCAGATCAGTAGCCGGGCGGTGAATAAGCTTGCCAAACCTTTGGCATTTGTCACATTTCTTCACCAGTCTTTATCATCTACCTCAAGAGTAGGCCAAAAATAATGTCGCCTGGCTTTGACGGCTAGGGACCTGCCGCCTATATGGGAGGCACAATATCCTACATATAATTCTTCGAGAACTTCTTTTCCCTTTTATGGGGTAACACACTTCAATAAAGATTTAAGAAAACCCGCCTTGAAGAGCTCTCCATTTCTCATCTCGAAGTTTGCTGCTCGTTTCTTCATGACGGCTGCCTCCTACGTTGAATCAAGAAGCGTTCCGTCTGTTAAATATGCCCGGATGCCATCCATCCAGGTAGAGCTTAGGTCCAGGATTCCAATGGGTTCTTCATATATACTTCTTTTTTCAAGAACTTCCCAAAAGCACTATTACAAAAATGTCCTAAGGAACCACTTATTTAGCACTAGAAAAGTTAGAACACCGGTTTCTTAGATAATGAAACCATATATTATAAATATCCGGTCTTTTAGACTTGAATAAAAGAAACCACAAACTTATAAACTCTGGTGCCTTATATCAAGTTGATAATGCTGAGGGTCAAAGAGACCGTATATATAATAGCATTGGTTTCTTTTTTTTTAGGGAAAAAAAATAGAGCGCCAATTCACCCTAAAATTTCCCTCCGACATACTAAAAATTCCCTTCCCTCTAGAAAATATACTAAGTATATTAATTTTGAAAAAAAAAAATATTCTTCGGTTTTAAAAAAGAAAAAAAATATTCTTCACTTCCAATTGACCAAACCGACTCTGGTACTACATGCTACTTTTCCGCCATAGCCCAAACCAACTCTGCTACTTCTTGCTACTTTTCTGATCGCTGCTCTATTGCTGGTGATCCTAGTACTCTATTAAAGGAAATTTTATTTCTTTCGTAATTCAATTCAATATTTCAAAAGTTAGGGTTTATTGCTTTCAACCGCATTCGTAATCGCCTAATCTACCACTAGCACCAATACTCGTCGAATTGCCTAATCCAGCCACCAATCCCAATTTTGCGACAGGTATTATGTTAATTAACTCATCATTATCTACTTTTTTATGCATGTTAGATTAATTGATTAAAAATAATGTGAAGTTGAAGCGTTGATTGTTGTCGATATACAGGACTTAGTTTGTATGATTATTGGAAAAAAGTAGCCTTTTTAGATGACAACATGTTTGGTATTCAATGGTATGATTAATTTTGTTTTAAAAAAGTGGTATTTATCCAGTGGTATTAGGAGTTATTTTGGTCTAATTGATCTTGAAGATGGAAAGTATCAGGACTGAATGCAGAGTATTAATTTGAGCTTTGCATCTTTATTGTTAATGGAGTTAACATAAAATAAACTCTTCCTCTTCGTCACCCAATAAAGCATACTCTAAATCATCCATTAGAGCAGTTGCTTGGGTAAAGAAGTATTAATGATCGAATATCAATTTCAAGTGATAACCCTTAACGAGATTGCAATATCAACTATCTTTTCTCTTATTCTTCTTAATTAATCCATGAATAAAGTTGCCAACCTTTTGAGATGTGCCTATTTGACTTGTTAGTTACATACGCATTATTGAAAATCGAAATGAAATGGACTTTTTCTTCCATCTTTTTTCTTCAAAAGAAAAATTGTTGTCTTATTATTATGATATTTGTTGGTTTTAATTGTTATATTATTAGATTGGTTATCAAATGAATGTTTAAACAATGATTTTATCTACTAGTATTTGATAGCTCGATTTGGATTTTCTCTATGTGTGTAATGCATTTGTTTCCTTGTCAATTGGTTGACTATGTGCTCTTGTTTTATTGCATTCTTGTCAACATAAGAGTGACTTTTTAGGCTTTATTGTCAGACAATTATCTCTTTTCTTTTCATTCTTATTTTGTCTCACCTGTGTAATTGATTTGAGAATCATCAGAGTAATGTGGGTTTGCCTGATCTTTCCTTGATGCATAAAATCTGTGATGTGCTGCTTCCATTAACTTTTAAAATTTAAACATAGAAATGGATCAAAGTTGGATATCTACCTCCAAGCCGGGTGACCCACAATATGAAGCTGGAATAAGGGAATTTATTAATTTTGCCATTAAAAATGTTTGAGATCGATCTAGGTTATCATGTCCTTGTTTCAAGTTACATAACTTTTTGTATAGACCGACTGATGAAATTCTTAATAACTTGAGCAAGACGGCCTTTGATAGAACATCTACCATTTGAACTTGGCACGGGGAAAGTAAAGAAGCAACCTCTACAAGTGATAACGAAAATAATGGTCATGGTGGTTTAATTATAATGAGGGTGATAGGTTAGCGGACATGATGCGAGTAGCTCAAGATCAATTTGAAGAAAACCCAGCAACATTTGAGAGGATATTAAGTGATTTTGAAAAACCCTTGACCCAGGTTGTAAGAAGTACAGAAGATTATGAGCAATATTGAGGTTATATAACCTAAAGGCAGGTCATGGTTTAACTAATAATAGTTTTACATAAATACTTGATTTAATAAATGACATGCTTCCAGAGGATAATGTTCTTCCAAGACGTACATATGAGGCAAAAAAGATGTTGTGTTCCATGGGCTTACCCTATGACAAATTAATGCTTTCCCTAATGATTGTGTTTTACATCGAAATGAGCTTGATTCATTAAAAATTTGTCCAGTGTGCAATGTTTCACGATACAAGGAGAAAGAAGGGGTGCCTGCTAAGGTTTTGTGGTATTTTCCAATAATTCCTAGATTTAAATGTCTTTTTCTAATGCGAGCGATGCACAAAATGGACATGGCATTCTGAAGGACGAAAAAAAGTTTGGAAGCTTAGACACCCTGACTCCCCTCAATGGAGGTTTATTGATGCAAAATTTCCCGAGTTTGCTAAAGAAAAGCAAAACCTTCGCCTTGCATTGTCTACTGATGGTATGAATCCATTTTGTAATCTAAGAAGCAGTTATAGTACATGGCTGATAGTTTTGGTTACTTATAAACTGCCTCCTTCCTTGTGCATGAAAAGAAAGTACATGATGCTCTCACTGTTAATTGCTGGCCTAAAACAGCCCGAAAATGACATTGACATCTATTTAGCGCCCCTTATTGATGATTTAAAGATGTTATGGGAGAAAGGTGTAGATGCATTTGATACACATCGAAATGAAGTTTTTAATTTGAGAGCTATGTTGTTTTGCACCATTAAAGATTATCTAGCTTATGGTATTCTTTCAGGATATACGGTGAAAGGAGAAACGGCTTGTCCAGTATGTGAGGATGGTATGAAAGGGCAATGGTTATCAGCTTCAAATAAAACTGTTTACTTTAATCATCGTCCTTTTTTACCTATTAATGATGAATACCGCAAGCGAAAAAAAGCTTTTAATGGAAAACAAGAATTAAGAAGATGTCCTAAAGTCTTGAGTGGTGAGGATGTGTTTGAAAAGGTTAAAGACATTCAGGTAACCTATGGGAATAAAAATAGACCAAAGCTTCCTAAACAAGGGTACAAGAAATGTTAAGAGTTTTGGCATTTACCTTATTGGAAATTCCTTTTTGTTATACACTGTTTGGATGTGATGCATATTGAAAAAAATGTGTGTGATAGCTTAATTGGTACATTGTTGAATATCAAAGGTTAGACAAAAGATGGTGCCCATGCTCGTGATGACTTGAAGGAAATGGGAATAAGAAGTGAATTGCACATCGTTGATGGAAGTATAAGATATTTGCCTCCTGCAGCTTATTCATTGTCACGAATAGAGAAAAATGTCTTCTGTGAAAGTTTAGAGTTTAGCTGGAGTTAAAGTTCTAGAGGGGTTTTCCTCATATATTAGCAACCTTGTTTCAATGGAAAATTTGAAACTTGTGGGGCTAAAGTCTCATGATTGTCATATTTTGATGCAACATTTGCTCCCAGTAGCTATTCGCTCTATTTTACCTAAAAATGTTCGATATGCAATTATTAGGTTGTGTTCTTTCTTTAATGCAATGTATGATAAAGTCGTTGACCCGAAAAACTTAGATCATTGGGAAACTGAAATTGCTGTCATTATTTTTCAGTTAGAGATGTTCTTTCCTCCTTTTTTTGACATTATGATTCATTTACCCATTCACTTGGTCAGAGAGATTAGATATTGTGGGCCGGTTCATTCAAGGAGTTAATGGGCTTTTGAACAACAAATGAAAACATATAAGGGATATGTTAAGAATGTTTTTCACCCTGAAGGTTGTATTGCTGAACGACTCTTTTATGAAGATGGTGCTGGACTAGGTAGTGAATATGTATAAAATGCAAAGGTTATTGGGATTCCTATATCTCGACACACCGGAAGAATGGAAGGTAAAGGGATCATAGGCCATAAACAGCGTGATTTGTCTTATGAAGAGTGGCATCGGGCTCACACATATATTCTTTTCAATGAGGACGAAGTTGCACCTTATGCTAAGAACCATATTGCCTTCCTGAAAAAGAAAAATCGTTAGTTGAATCACAAATCACTATTAAGTGAACATAATAGATAATTTAGCACTTGGCTAAAAGATCAAGTAATGAGTGAGCTTCAAGATCCATCAAATTCCATTACTGAGCGACTTAAGAGTTTAGCTTGAGGACCCAATTTCAGGGCATCCTTCTATTCTGCATATGTGTATAATGGTTGCACGTTCTACACTGAGGAGAAAGATAAAATCAGTACTATGCAGAATAGCGGGGTAGTTGTTGAAGCGGAAGCTATGCACTTTGCGAGTGCTAAAGACAACAATCCTTACATATGGTAAAATGTGGTATTACGGTATCATTGACCAAAATCATTGAGATGCAGTACAATGGCTTTTCAATACCAATATTTAGATGCAAATGGGTTAATAATAACAGTGGAGTTGAATATGAAGATATAAGGCTTACTTTGGTTGATTTTGATAAGCTTGGTTTTGAGGAAGATCCTTATATCTTAGTTAGCCAAGCAAAACAAGTGTTTTACATGACTAATCCGGCTAATAAGAAAAGATCTGCTGTTATAAAACCAAGATCCCGGTATGACATTAATGACGACTATGATGATGACATTGAGTTGGAGGAAGGTTTTTCCACTAATGTGATTCAAGTTGAGGATTTCATTGATGATCATGGGGAGGATTCATTAACTTATGTGCGTGATGACCATAATGAAGGCACGTGGGTTGATAGTGATGATTAGTGTGTATCTCAAAAGCGTCGTCGGAAAAAGAAATAAGGTGAAGTACGTGATTTTAAAAAACTACACCCTTAAAATAATATATGTTTCTATGCTCCCTTATAGTGTTATGATATTTTTGCTTAACAAATTATGATAATCTTTTTGTTGGTAAATGCTACATAGTTTATGTTTAATGAATTTTAGTAAATCTCATTTAAATCGTGACATGTATGTAATATCTATCTTTGTTAGTTTTAATCTTGTAACTCATTAACTCTTTGCATGCTCTAGCTAATGGCAAGAAAGAAAAAGCCGGTACAATAACATGAAGGTAATGATGACGAAGATAATTCTGATATTGAACGACTTAGCCGTGAAGATGAAAGGGGTCGTACAGTACTTGCTGCTGTTGGAAAGGCAATTCAAAACGGGACCAAGATCCCTTTAGAGTGGGATCCTATAACTAAGTTGCCATGTGGGAACATAAACTTACCTTTTCTGGCTATATTGGTGTAGTTGTTCGGGAACGAATATGCATCACTTATGAAACGTGGAAAAAAGTTCCAAGAGTTTTCTTAGATGATATTTATGACATAATAAAGGTAAGACCCACTTAGTACTTAGTAACAATTGTATACGTACTATTTTTTTCATAATGTATTACTAAGAGTATTCAAAATTAATTGGGCAGAAAGGTTTTGTAGTCTTAGAAGAGTGTAAGGAGTATATTTTGCAGCAAGCAGATTGGAGAGCTGTAAAAACCCAGTTGAGAAGAGATTGGCTATACCATAAAAAAACTAGAAGGTTAAGAGAAAAGCCACCAGATTGGAAATATCCTTGGATCACTTAAGATATTTGGGACAAATTTGTTACAATGAGTATTGATGATAAGTTCAAGGTATGAATTTATTATGATGTTTAATTATTGTGATGAGTATTGTAATCCTATTATGTTTACAATATATAAGATTTATAGTTCATAATTTATGCTATGCCTTTGATTTGCATTAAACATAGAACCTAGTGTAGCAGAGATGTATGTCAAATGTGGGATTGAATTAATTAAATATAAGACTTATAGCTCTATTGCAATATTATTATTGTTAAAATCTTCCAATAACTCTGCTGTTAGATTGAATTAATTACACCTACTTGTTTATTACAACAAGGAACTTGGTAGAAGCCATGTTAAAGTAGATACAAGTTTGAATTAAAAGTGTGAAGATGTCAAAGTGGAATATGTCAAAGTACATTTTTTTTATTAAATACTTCTAATTTCGGAATAATGTTATTCAAAGGTGGTGAGCGAATGTAGTCGAGCAAGGTCAAAGCTTAAAAATTCAAGCTATCGTGGAGGGCCACTTGGTTATCAATACTATCGAGATGAGATAGTAAGTTTAGTAATAATTCTCCATGTATAAGTTAAAGTGATGCATACTTTTTCCAATAATGTATATTCAAGTTAATTAATACTTGTATATAATTTCTTTTATTTCATGTATTCCAAGAAATAGAATTCTTGAAAAAAGGGATCCATATTGACCATGTGCCTCGACACGAAACTTGGTTGCGAGTTCATTCCCATTTTAAAGATAGAAAATATACTTTTAAGAATCCAATTGATCAAGAGACAGCTGATGCAATTGTAAGAATTTTCACAAGTACTATATTCATATTATTTTGTTATTATACTTCCAACATGATATGATTTCTTATTATTGCTATCAGAATGCATTAAAAGATCAAGCAGAGAGAGGAGAAATAATTTTCGAGAACCGACATGATGATATTTTGGCCCGAGCACTGAAAAAGGTGGAGCGTGGAGGAAATGTAAGGGGCGTTGGATCAGGTATAACAAAGAAGCAGTACTTTGGTTCTGCAAAACCAACACCACCTAGCCAATTGCACAATGAACTTAATTGTGTCAGGTCAGAGGTGGCAATGCTGAAAAACCAAAATAATGTCATAATGTCTTATTTGTTATCGGGCCAAAACATAGGGGAGTTTAAGCAATTGATGGCCAGCGGTATTAGTGGCCAATCTAGTGTTCCCATTGGTCAAGACAATGGCTCTGGAAACCTAATAGTACTTGTTCTCAGCAAGAAAATGCTACCCAAGTTACTAGTTCATCTGAATTTGGATCAGATACAGGATTTTTTACCAAGCTTCTACGTGGAGGTGTTAATCAAGGTGGCCAAAGTGCTATATTTTTCTCAAGGAAATCCTTACACTCGGTCTCAAGATTTTCAAGAAACGGAATACAATCGGCCTCATAGTGAAAAACAAGAACATGAGCTAGAGCCTTACCAAGTTTCTTGGCCTGATACTACTAATGCTAACTCACCACAACAAGGAAATTGTATGTTCCTTAGCCCGATACATATGACACTCAACCTATTAGCAACCTTCCTAAGGTATGAAAAATAGCATTAGCTACTATACACCTTTTATTTTATTTAAACTAGTAAGATATATTGACCTAACATGTGTTTTGTTGTCAATTATTATGTAAATGACTAAGGGTATGCATGACTGTTGCTTAGCGACTGAAGATGACAAAGAAATCCAGATTATTGCAATTGGGCAAGTTTACATATCAGGGTCGACATTAGTGGTAAAGAATCATTATTTTTTATTTGGCCCCTGGTACTCATCGAGTCTCTATACTTGATGACCTGGTGCCAACAACATTACTTCCATGTCCTACTGAGCTTTTCACCTTTGTTTGTCAAGCAAAGGATACCTTTGTTCCCTGGCCGACTCATTTAATTTTCTCAAAGAAAAAGGTACACTTTTTTCTATATATGTATATTCTTTTTTGCATTACTTGGATTCTTTTTAATGTATAGAGTAAGTTTTTCTTTCTATTTGGTATTCATTGAAGCTAAAAAACATAAGTGATAAGCAAAGTCTAGAAAATTAAAAGTAACCTCCAACAAAAATCATTCTAATCGGATATTCAGGTTATCTGACCTGAAATTTCAGATATCTGGGTTTTTCTTTGATCTAATATCTGGTGTGGCCAAACAAATTATCTCATTGGCATAAACAAAATTCTAATCCACAAAAAGATGCTACAAGTAGCAATATCATAACTTCCTTTCTTTATCATCCTTATATATTCAAAGTAACCATTCACACCAAATGCATCTAGGTAGTACTAGGTAGGCTTAGTGAATCAAAATTTACAAAAGTGCATAAGAGCTAATATAAGGAAATCCACTCTTAAGCTACGTTTCTATGACATCCTAAACGCAGAGCCAAAGATTAGTACATACAGTAATACAGATTATAAAGGTGGAGCTTGCTCACTTCCTTCCAACAAGTCAGTTCCCCTTCACATCAAACAACCTGAGGTAACATTACAAACCCCTGTCTTCTCAATAATCCACACATTATTTGCCAGTGTATGACAGCTATCTCTTACGTGCAAGTTTGGATTTGGCCTTCCTTCTTTGAAAGAAAGATCTCCTGATATATATACTAGCAAGTTTGTCATGAATAAAGCAACAAGGATTTATATATTCAGCAACACCACATGAGTTACTCACCTTCACTCATCACCCATTCAAAGACAATGCGCCTTCCAGATCACTAATCATATCCATGCTTACCCAATCATATATCAGCTAAATGTTTGAAACTGTCACAACCCAATTATGTATTAGCATCTTTGTACTGTAATAGTTTTTCAATTCTCATCTAATTTGTTTTTTCTTTAATTTTATTTCTAGTTTACATCTAATATATTTATTTCTTGTGGTGTACAAAATTCTCTAAGATCAATAATCAGCTTAAAGATAAGGAGAATACCCCTATATCGAGATTGCCATCGACAGAAGCTTCATCTAAAAAGCCGTATAACATCACTAATAAAGATCGTGCCATGGTGACATCTTGTTTATTGGAAGCTTTTAAGAAAGAAGCTATGGGATTGAGACAGAGGAATGGGAACATAATTTTGAACATCCCGTTTAATGTTTTCTACAACGAGATGGTAATTCGGCTTGATTATGAAGATATATTTGATTGGTGTTTTCAAAGAGAGGTAGGAGCATCTCACATGTCAATTTTCATGATGTATGTTGTAAGATAATTAACCTTGTTAGTTTATCTCACATGTTGATCTTCATGTGGTACATACTTGAGTAATTTATATTTCGAGATTTGATATGCAAGGTACTTGAGCGAAGAGTGTCAAAAGGAGGGTATATCAGGGTTGTATGGTTTTTGCGATGTTAATTTTATTTCTCCGTTAACCCCGACAAAAGAAGGCGTTATGCGGAATGGTGAGCTTTAGCGTTATTGGTCGAAAGGATATCAAGAAAATGAAAAAAAGAACCCCGAAGTTTTGTGGCTTAAACTACAGTATGTGATACACATCTTCAAATTTTTGATTCATTGTGATTTATATTTTTGAACAAATTATTTATATTGAATGATGAAACAGTGTCCACGTCAATATCAAGACACCAAAGATTGTGGATATTATGTATGCCGCTACATGCAAGAGATAATAACAAGGAGACAACAAGTAGTTCCAGAAAAGGTAACTTTTATAAAATACAGTGCTTTTGTCTATACAAAATTCCATAGGGTTGATTAAAAAAGTTCTCAACCCAATACCTGAAAGTTATTCTTTATGCAAATATATAACCCGACATTACTCAAATTTAACGTGCCATATCTGATTCATGTCAGTACTATTGTACGCTTTTATTTTTATTTATTTATTTATTTATTTATTTATTTATTTATGAAGGAGTGCATTAACTAGTATCAGCAGTTACAAAATTAAATTATTACAAACTATGGGAGGGGCTGATAAATAGGATGTTTGATACAAATTATAGCAATTAACTTGTGCTTCTTTGGCTAAAAGTTCATCTAGCTTGTGGTGCTCCTTTTGCTTCAAAAGTTACTCCTTGTTTGTAAGCAGGTTCTTGCATTGTATGGCATAGAAAGTTAGTTAATTGTAGTTGTCTCCTTGTTGAATTTCTTAAAGTGCCATCTTGATCTGAAGTTTGTTATATGGATGCACTTATCACAGTTCATGATTTCTATCCATTCAAGTGCTAATTTCACTAAAGTGATCCCCGCATTTAAGGGGCTTGTTGCATGCCCTTTTCATTGACTACCTATAATTCTATAGGTATTACACATGGTTTTGATATATATAATTTCTTTTGTACTACTTTCCCCAAGCTCCCGCTACTTATCATCAAAAAACGATAGACGAAATACGAGACACTTTGGTTACGTATGTTTTTAAGCAAAAAGAAGTCAGTGATGATGGTATGGCTGATGATCATGAATGATTATCGCACATATTTAAACATTGTATATATATTTTGGGATATAAGGATTTTTGCTTATGGAGGCCAATGAATAGAGTTTAGACTTTGGAGAATTTTAGATTATGTTTTATTTTTATTTTTTTTATTAGAAAATGGATAGTGATGTTTAGTGAATTATTGTCTTATAATCAGCTTTCTTTTCTTTCTTTTTTTTTTTAAATTTTTTTTAGATACATAATGTACAGTGTATAATTAAATATATTTAGTGAAGTATTAAATTATTGAGCCCAATTCGATATTGTTGTAGTTATTTAATATATGATACTAAAGGTCTACAAGTGCATATATATAGCAGGTTGAAACAATTTTATTAGTTATCAATTTAGACAGCATCACCCCAGCCAACGTATAGTACTGTATTAATACGTAATACGTATTTTAATAAAAAAGTACAAAAAAAAAATTATTTTGATGTATAAATATTATGGTTTCTTAAATTACTATGTATATGAAAACAAAGAACCAAAGAAACCGGATTTTAAACATTGTTGGTTTCTTATATAAATCCTAGATACCACATTTTATTCATCTACGGTGCCTAAACTATATCTAAGAAACCGAATATCCAAAATATATGGTTCCTTTCCCTCAACAATAATAAGATTTCAAATCTTGCTAAGAAACCAATTATATGTGATAAATGGTTTCCTTGATTAATCTAAGAAACCAGAAAAATTTTGTGATCTCTTAGGCTATGAGACCTACTACCTAGGCAGCATAACTTTTCTGGTTTCTTTGTCATATTTAGTACGGTTTCTTATGCTATTTTTGTAGTAGTGAAGACTGACCGAGGCGTATCATAGCAGGCGAAAGATGTCAGTTTGGACAATGCATCCGCCTGGTTGTTATCTAACCTGGGCACTTGACTCAGACGAAATTCTTCAAGTGCCCTAGCCTCCTTTTTGACTGCCTGGAGATATTTGATCATAGCCGGGTGAGTTGTCTCATATTTTCCCTCATACTGTCTTACGACCAACTGTGAATCAGATTAGGCGTCAATTTTTGTTGCCCCTGCCGCCTTACACATGCGATTTCGGCTAGCACGGCTTTGTATTCCGCCTCATTATGCGAGGCCTGAAACTTAAACCGCAGTGCATATTCGAATATTTCCCACTCAGGGGACTCATATATAATCCCTGCACCACAGTCGTTCTTTGTCGAACTCCCTTCTACATACACTTTCCAAACCTGATCAATGTTATCCGGAGGAACCAGTCGTGTCATTTCAACAATTAAGTCGACAAACACCTGATCCTTCACTGCGTTTCTGGGTTCAAAAGTGATTTCAAGACTTTGCATTTCAACATTCTGCTGGATGACTCCAAGGTAGACATTGGCCGCTTGAGGGGCTGATCGTTGTAAACTACAACCGGATGTTCCAGAAAATAAGGCTTCAGCTACTTGAGTTCCATATACAAAGCAAGGCCAAATTTTTCAACCATGGGGTAACGTAGTTCAGCATTTTTTAGCACATGGCTAATGAAATAGACCGGGAGCTGGATGCCGTCTCTCTCAGCAAGGAGAACAGCACTGAGGGCATGGTCTGAGACGGCTAGGTACATGTACAATGTCTCTTTGTGCAGAGGGCTAACAAGCCTTGGCAAAGAGTGCAAGTGTTCTTTCAGCTTTTGAAAGGCCGCCTCAGCATCATCCCCCCATTCAAATCTAGTCTTCTTCCTGATTACTTGGAAGAAATAAAGGCATTTGTCACCTGACCGGCTAAGGAACCTCCCCAATGCCTCCAGGCAACCGGTTAGTCTCTATACTTCCTTAACAGTGCGGGGTGACATCATGTCAATCACCGCCTTTATATTCTCGGGGTTAGCCTCTATCCCTCTTTGATCAATCAGGAATCCAAGAAACTTCCCAAACTCAACACTATGACGCATTTTTTGGGATTTAACATAACCTTATGTCGCCTGTGGGTGGTGAAGGTTTCTCGGAGATCAGCCAGGTGATCCGTCTGTTGCTTGGATTTGACTATCATGTCATCAATGTACGCCCCCACATTCCTCCCAATTTGATTAATGAAGACTGTATTAATCATATGTTGGAATGTAGCCGGCGCATTCTTCAAGCCAAACGGCATCACAGTATAACAGAATAACCCCTGATCAGTGACGAAGGCCGTATTTTCTTGATCTTTTTTCTACAGAGGTATCTGATGGAAGTCGGAGTAGCATCCATAAAACTCATCAAGGCATGTCCGGCTGTAGAATCGACCAGACTGTCGACCTTTAGGAGCGGATAGCTGTCCTTGGGACATGCTTTGTTGAGGTCTCTGTAATCAACACACGTACGCCAGACACCATTCGGCTTCTTTACACGAACAACATTCGCCACACAATCGGGAAAATTACATGGCCGAATGAACCTAGCATCCAAAAGCTTTTTTACTTCGGCAGCTGCCGCCGGACTTCTTTCCTCGCCGCGATTTCTTTTTTTTTTTGCCGGATGGGCTTCTTTTTTTGATCCACGACGAGTTTTTTGATAGCGAGATCCAGGCTGACACCTGACATCTCTTCCACTTCAAAGGCAAAAATGTCTTTGAATTCTTTCAGCAATAGGTGCAGATCTGCACCCAACTTAGCATAAGCAGTCGTCCCAACCTTAACAGTATGCTCTGGACGGTTGTCATCCAGAGGTATATTAATATGTTTACTAGCCGGCTAGGGACGGAGCTCATCTGACCGTTCCCCGGTCAATGATTGCTATTTTTTCTCTTTCTTCACCACCACCTGATGAGCCTTTCTTTTCTTTTCGGCTGTTGGTGGGGCTGGCTGGCATCCTTGACATTGTCAAGTTCTATTCATTCCTACCCTTGGCCGTCTAAGGCCACAATATCTTTGACGGCTGAGAGGTAGCACTCCTGGGCCGTCTTCTGGTCCCCGTTCAAGGAACCAACTGTAGGGAATATTTCAAGCATTATCCCTAGCTTGAACCCCACTGTGATCATACAGTAAAGTACAGTGGCGTCCAAAGGGAAAGAAGATAGAGCAAAAGAATCGTCCACAAGTTTTAGGAACTTGTATACCGTTCATAGGGTGAAGGTTACACCCCTTAACGATCCAAGAGATCGTCAACTCCAATAGGTCTTGAACCATGACTGGTAGTTCGGGAATGAAGGTATAAATCTAACCTAAAAGAGATTGAACCTGCCCTAATAATAAGCCTCTACTTTATTCTGATCGTATTCATGTGCGCTTTCTGACTAACATGCAATCAATAGATTTACCCTAAACCTGTTTATCTATGTTGGTTGAATATTAATGCATAAGTAAACTATTATTGGCGATCACTTGAATTATAATCAAATTAAACCTAAATAAGATTATTAATTATCTTATTAAGCGTGATTACAAGTACCAATTCCCTTTAAACATGCATAAAAGGTGTGATCAAGCAATAACAATAAATATAATCAAGCAACATAATAACAAAAATAACAATAATAATATATAATCATAAATCAAAACAAAAATAATCATGAATCATGTTAAAGCATAATAATAATATCAAGATCCTAGGCATGATACTAACAAGATTAATAACAAACCCTAGCATATCACTAAGCAATAAAAATCAAATCTTTAACGCTAACATGATATTAACAACCATGAATATTAGGAAGAACATAAAAGGCATCATATTTTTAATCATACTTGATATTAAAGTTACCCTAGACATGATACTAGGAATTTAAATAACAATCTAAGCATGATTTCTACATAATTAAACCAATAAAAACCATTAAAGTACTTACATGGATGTCTCGTACCTCTTTCGAATAACAAAATACACACGTTAGTAACTTTAAGGACAATAATAAATCAAACAATTAAATTAAATAATTGAAATAAGGATTTGGGATCAAACCCTCAGAAATTAAAACCTTTCACGTCTAGGGCGAAGACAATTTCGAATATGGCTAGGTGTATCTAAGTCTTGCGAATGCGAATTTTGTATTTGAGAGAAGGCTAGTTTAGAAAATAGAGAGAGAAAGAGAGTAATCAAGAGAATCTTGATGAGAGTTGGTGATTAAAAAAAGGGAGATATGACCTCTATTTATAGAGAAAAAAGAGAGGCGAAAATTAAAGAAAAGAATTCGAATTCGAATCGAGATAGACCTCGATGGACATCAGTTTTTGCGGATTTTGTTTTTATCATATCTTTTGATCCAGAAGTCGAAATAAGGCATATAATATGTCGTTGGAAAGATCTCAAAGTATACTTTTCAACCCAATCAGAATCAGATTAAAATATTTTGTAGAAAAAAAGTTATGGCAAAAATATTTGGACGGTGTCAGTTTTGGATAGAGTTTCATATCTTATTCATATCTTTTTCGTTATAGCTCGGAATTAATATTATAATATATCATTGTAAAGATAATTTCAAGATCTATCCAACAATATAAAATTTGGATAAATATTATGAGGCCCAAAAATAAATTACTGTCTTTGAACATCTTTAAATTAGAATAGAATTAGGATTTAAGAAAAGGAAAGTTTTTATTTAACTCAAATTCTTTAATCTTATCTTTTCAAAAAGGATAATTAAGATCTTTTAGAAACTTATAGAAGCTTTTAATTAACCCTATATAGTTTAGGAATAGGATTAAACCTTTGGACCCTCCACATGATCATTGGGTCGTAGGTAAAATTCGGTTTGGGCCCAGTTTAGTATTTTGGCCATAACTTCCTCATATTTATCGGAATTGGGCTTATAATATATCGTTGAAAAGGTCTTTTCAAGCCCCATCCAACTACACTATTATTAGACCCATATCATGGACCAAACTAAACTAGAATGCACGGTTTTAAAAAATAGGGTAAGAAAAGAAATATTTTCAAAAACAGAAAGAAAAGATATTTTAATAAAAAAAACATCCTCATCACTAGACTTTTCACACTTTCGCTTTGTTCGATACTCAAATTATATGAAAGGTACTCATCACTAGTTTTGGTTTTGGGGAGACACAAATGGGTGTCTGCAGAAGCCCCCACTTTGACTGAGTTTAGAGAAATGCAAGTTTCGAAAACGAAAGTCAAAGTAGCAATAGGGACGGAGAATGATTCAGAACGTTCAGCGATCCTAAATCACTCTTGTAATGCCGATACCTGCAAACTAGCGTTAGTTAAATAGATAAAAGAGTTAAGAAACGCGTATCTTGCACCATCGAGCAAACGTCTCTGAGGGTAACCGATTGGTTGTGACGATCTTCCGCAAGCTAGAGAATACCGCCTGAAGACTGCTACGCCTATAACTGCCTCCAATGTCTGCTGTGATATTCTTCGAAAAGATCAGTGCTTGTTGATCCTTAATGATGTTTTGCCAGTACGTCGGCGCTTTG